ACAGCAGTGTACAGTGCCTGTGCAGTCTTGTGCTGGCCAAAGTGCTCGCACTCGTCTATCGACAGGGAGTTGCGAATAGCGAAGCGAGCGTGGGCATCACGAGTCTGCCACTGTGAGCGGGCAGCGCTGTCAGCAGTAGCAGCAGGGGCAGTGACATGGCCTAGGGCGTGGTCGTACAGTGAGATGTCGTCCTTGGCAGTGAGCTGTAGATAGAGGTGCAGGTCATCTAGCCAGGTGTCAAACTTCACTGGGCGGCCCTCAGCATCGAAAACTAGCACGTGTGGGCTAGCCATAGGAGCAGCAGTAGGAGAAGGAGGATGAGGCAGGTAGGGCGGCTCGGTTCAGGTAGGGCGGTGCGGCTCGGGTAGGGCGGCGCGGCTCGGTTCGGGTCGCGCGGCTCGGGTCGGGTCGCGCGGCTCGACTCGGACTGGGCAACTTGGTTCGGTCGCGCGGCTCGGCTCGGTCCTGGAGGGGCTGTGGCGGTCACGGGCCGTTCGGGGCCTCTAGGGGCGAGCGCGGGGCCGTTCAGGGCCTCTAAGGGCGAGTGCGGGGCCGTAAGGGGCCGCTAAGGGCGAGCGCGGGGCCGTTCGGGGCCTGTAGGGGCGAGCACGGGGCCGTAGAGGGGCCGCTAGGGACGAGCGTGGGGCCGTTCGGGGCCTCTAGGGGCGAGCGCGGGGCCGTAAAGGGCCTCTAGGGGCAAGCGCGGGGCCGTTCGGGGGGGGCCTCTAGTGGCGAGTGCGGGGCCGACGAGGGGCCTCTAGGGAGGTGAGCGCGGGGCCGACGGGGCCGTTAGGGGCGATCGCGGGGCCGACGGGATTGCTAAGGGGCGAGCGCGGGGCCGTAAGGGGCGAGCGCGTGGGCCGACGGGGCCTTAAGGGGCGGCGCGCAGGTCGCTAAGGGGCGGGTCGCGGGTCGCGGGGCCTTAGGGGGCCGTGAAAAAACGAGGCGCCCTAGGGCGCAGGTAGGTAGGTAGGTAGGTAGGTAGTGGTGGGCCCTAAAAAAACGGTCCTAGCGAAGGACCTGCTCTATACCATGTTGGAATGAACGAACAGGAATGATTGAACTAACAGTGAAATCAGTACAAGTACCTAACCCTAGAATTGTGTACCCCCTATAGGCTAACCCACTGTAGCCTAAACAAGCACAACATATATAATGTTTGACAATAAATCCTTCTAACATTGCTCAGTTGGAAACTGATATGGAGTCAGCAGCTTCGAGCGTAGGACCGAGGGATGATCTATTCGACATACCTATAAGCGAGACCATCTACGGTTACTCGGAGCAGCAACAACCACTACTACTCGAGGTGATCTGCAACGGGCGATGCCTCCAGGCACTGGTGGACACTGGTGCGTCCCACTCGGTGTGCGATCGCGGGACGTTGAAGAAAATTGGAGAACCTTTAGAGGAGACCAAGTTCATGGCAACAATGGTGGACGGTACGAAACTTCCCATCCACGGCGAAGCATCACTGCAGCTGCACATAGGGGCGCTGAGGTGGAAGCCGACGTTGCCGATCACGAACATCAAGGGTTTAGATTTCATCTTGGGGCGAGATTTCTTGAAGCGGCTCAACCCCGAGATCGACTGGGTCAACAAGAAGGCGTGCATCTACAACAACGGGAAACGAGTGGAGGTGCGAAGCTGGACGGATACAGGGAGCGTTCCTGAAACGACACTGGCACGGTTCGAACGGACTGTGAACGAGAGTAACACGGGATACTTAGCACTAGTTATGGCAGCAGCAGAGGAGGAGATGCCGAACACGGAGCTACCTGCAGCAGTGAAGGAGGTTTTGGAGCAGTACAAGGATATAATGCCCGACGACCTACACGCAGGCGTACCTCTAGCACGCACCCACGAGCACAAGATCGTGGAGGAACCAGGTGCGAAACCCGTCTCACATGCACCATACCGACTGAGTCCAACTGAACTGACAGACATGAAGAAACCGATAGAATATCTACAGGACAGACAACTGATCCGCCCATCCACCTCTCCCTACGGTGCACCAGTCCTCTTCACTCCAAAACCAGACGGTAGTCTACGGATGTGCATCGACTACCGTGCACTGAACAAACAGACAGTCAAAAACAAATATCCCATACCGCGCATAGACGACCTACTTGATCAACTGCGTGGAGCAACAGTATTTTCGAAGCTGGACTTACGATCGGGTTACTGGCAGATCAAGATGGCAGCCAACTCGGTCCACAAGACGGCGTTCCGTACCAGATACGGCTCCTACGAATACTTGGTGATGCCGTTCGGACTCTGCAACGCACCAGCAACGTTTCAGGCGGAGATGAATCACATCTTACGACCCCTGCTGGACGAGTGCGTGGTGGTGTACCTGGACGACATTCTCATCTACTCCAAGAACATGAAGGAGCACGTGGAGCATCTGCGGAAGGTGTTCGAGATCCTGTGGAAAAACAAGTTCTACGTGAAGCTGTCGAAGAGGGACTTCGCCCTGAAGAAGGTGCAGTTTCTCAGGCACATGGTGAGTGCCGAGGGCGTATACGTGGACCCGCGGAAAATCGAAGCCGTCAAGAAGTGGAAAATACCAGAGAACATGAAGGAGTTGCAGCAGTTCCTAGGCTTCGCCAACTACTACAACAGGTTCGTGCCGCAGTACGCTAAGATAGCAGCGCCACTGACCGACCTACTGAAAAAGGATACGCCCTACAAATGGGATACCCCTCATCAGCAAGCCATGGAGCAGCTACAGATAGCACTGACTACAGCGCCAGTACTCATCCTACCAGATCCATACAAGGACTACGTGGTGGAAGCAGACGCTAGTGACCAAGTAGTCGGAGCAGTACTGATGCAGAATCACGGACGCGGTTTGCAGCCCATCGCCTACCTCAGTAAGAAGCTACACGGAGCAGAACTAAACTACCCCATTCACGACAAGGAAGCCTTAGCGATAGTCATAGCCTTCAAGGCGTGGAGGTGTTACCTAGAGGGAGCCAAGACTACAGTCTATACTGACCACTGCAGTCTCAAATACCTGAAGTCGCAGCCGACGCTCTCACCACGACAGGTGCGGTGGGTGGACTTCCTAGAAACTCACTTCCACTACGACATCATCTATAAGCCCGGGCTACACAACAAGGCAGACGCGTTGAGCCGCCCCGGACATGTAGCAGGCATCTCGCTCGACGGGATGAACCCTCTACTCAAGGGTCTATTCCAACATGGGTACTCCGTGGACGCAGAGATCGCTACAACACAGACGAAGAAGCTGTAACAGTGGGAGAAAGACCTAGCGGTAAGGAAGGGTTCAGGAAAGATTTGGGTACCGAATTATGCCCCGCTACGGCAAATCCTATTGGAGGAGTTTCACGACGTACCATACGCGGGACATTTTGGGAGCAACAAGACGTTAACAGGGATAGCGAAGTATTACTACTGGCCCGGGATGGCAGCAGACGTACAGCAGTTCATCACCTCTTGCGACACGTGCCAGCGGATGAAGAGTAGCAAGCAGAAAAAAGCAGGGTTACTTCAGCCTCTACCCGTACCGGAGCAGCCATGGCAGGTCGTTAGCCTCGACTTTATCACAGGACTTCCTTCGACCTCACGGGGGCACGATTCCATCCTCGTATTCATTGATAAGTTCTCCAAAATGGGTAACTTCATACTGACCAACGCCACAGCTACAGCTGAAGCAACTGCTCGCCTCTTCTTCAACCGCATCATCACCATCCACCGCATCCCCGCTACACTCATCTCAGACAGAGACCCAAAATTCACGAGTAAGTTCTGAAAGGAGCTCATGGGACTGTTGGGGACAAAGCTTGCAATGTCTTCAGCATACCACCCCCAGACTGACGGACAGACAGAGCGACTCAATCAAGTGGTTGAACAGTTACTACGCACAGCTTGCAAGGACGACGTCAGCCACTGGGACACACAGTTACCGGCCCTAGAGTTCGGTTACAACAATGCATCACATGCGGCCACAGGGAAAACTCCTTTCTTCCTGTGTTACGGACGGGAACCACTCACACCACAGCAGCCAACCACACCGGCACATGTCCAAGCCGCACATGACTTCGTCACCACCATGCAGCAGCTATGGGAGAAGACTTCGCGACGACTCACTACGATGCAGACCTCCTAGAAGCAGTATGCCGATCGTCAGTGACGTGATCACTCAGTAGCAGTCGGAGATCAGGTGCTTCTTGACACGCGCAACTTGAACCTGTCTCACCTCCCATCAAAACTCTGGCCTCGCTTCTATGGTCCTTTTCTCGTGGAGGCACAGGTGACACCAGTTACATTCCGCTTGCGCTTACCTACTACTTGGAAGCTTCACAATGCTTTCCATGTGCAGCTACTGAAACCCTACAAGGACCCCAACCAACAGTTCCAGGGACGGCAGCTATCGCCACCACCACCTGTTCTCATACATGATGAACCCGAGTACAAAGTGGAGCGCGTTCTCACTCATCGGCACCGCGGCGGCAAGACCCTCGAGTTCCTGATAAGCTGGAAGGGATACGACCCCACTAAGGACAGGTGGGTTGCAGAAGCTGATATGGGCAATGCACGCCGTGCTCTCAAGGACTATCTTGTCAAGCAGGGTGTTTCTCACACCACCCAGCTTTGAGGGGGGGACGTGTGAGAGAACGATGGCTTATGCCAGCTATGCTTGCTTGCCTTTACTTTATTATGCTATTTCTAGCATAGGATAATTATATGCATGCATGAATTGCTTGATTTCCTAGGCTAGGTGCTTTCCTATATTTTATTACAGTTATAGCACCGAGCTAGGTTGCGTGCACCGAATTTCGGCCTTTACGGTTGCCACCAAATTGCCTTCTACCGAATTCGGTAAGGGTCTGTTCGGGACGCTACGCGGCCCGCGGAACCTTCGCGTAACACCTGGTTACGGGGCCTTGTGTCGAGCCTATATATAGCCTCGTGTTGTACCTAGGTGATCATTGAATTCGACTCAAATCTCATTCTCTTTTCTGAGCTCGATCCTAGATCCTTACAGGGGCTGCCGAGCACGGTAAGATGGTGGAGAAGCTAGTAAGGACAGGACCCCCAGAGGGGTCCGCCAGGGAGACCGCAACCGGCCGACTAAGCGGCGTAAGCGTGGTGCGGTCTCGAAAGAAGGAGCGGGAAGCACCCGAGTCAAGGGTGAAGGTGTGTAAGGCCTGAGCCGACGTGGTACCTGAGAGAGCAGACTCTCCAGCACTTGGGGCAGCAGACGCACTAGCACCTAGAGCAGCAGCCTCGCCAGCACCTAGAGCAGCAGCCTCAATGCCCGGGTCAGGCAGAACACACAGGTAACAGTCACCCTCATCACTAGTAGACACAGCATACATGGCAGCAAGAATAGCATCATAATCAAGATCAAAGATAGCAACCCCCGCCCTAGACAGCTCTCCCCAGCGAGGGATCTCAGTGGCGTCAGGGAACTGGTGACGCCACGCGTCCGTCAGGCGGCCGAAGCAGCGCTGGGTGGAGTGCGGGCCCCCGCACTGCTCACTAGTGCTGTCGCCGGTACGGAGGACGTAGGTGCAGGGACCAGTACCCCCACCTCGCTGACGCGCATCGTACCACTGACGAAGCTGCTGAGGGGACGGGGTCTCACGAGCGCGTTGCTGCTGCTGGCACGGACCACCACCGGAACCACTCCTCTGCGCAGAGCCGCGACCAGCTCCACCGCTGCCGCCGCCGCCTCCGCCACCTCCACCGCCTCCGCCACCTCCGCCGCCTCTGCTCCCTCCGCCACCGCCGCCGCCTCCTCCGCCTCCACTGCTGCCACTGACACCTCCACCCCCGCCACCACTCCCACCACCTCCCCCACCCTCTCCACTGCCTCCACCACCACCTCCACCGCCCCCGCCAGCCCCTCCAGCGGCCTTGCCCCCCTTGCCCTTGTTGGTGCGGCGTCTCCCGCTAGGGGCAGACGCGGCGCGACCGACTCGATGCCAACGAGGTCAGCCAGAGCAGCAGAAGCAACAGAGGGCAAAAGGGGGGAGGGGGAACACCCCTCAAAGACGGGGGTGCGAAGGTCACCACGAGAGGCTCCTACAGCGACTATGCTCTTCTCTATCGCTAGGAGGCGCTCCTCGAGGAGGTCAACGGTGAGAGTGGTGGGGCAAACTGAGAGGAAGTGGTCCCTGACTAAACGAAGGGAGTCAGGGAGCCGGGTGACTATGTAGTAGAGGGTGATGTACATGGGGGGGTGGTTCTTGGCACAGAACTCAGCAGGAAGCGCAGCGCGGTAGGGAGTGTCACTAGTGCGAAGGTGCGTAATGAGGTCAGCGACTATGGGAAAGGCAGCAAGGTCAGGGAACAGGTACAGCAGCATGAGGCGGCTAAGAGCAGCAGTGGCAGGGGAAGAGTAGCGTGCAACTACAGCGTCGTACAAGGTCTTAGCACTCTTGTACTGACTAAAGTGCGCACGCTCAGTGGTCGGTAAGTGGCGACGCACAGCAAGAGAGGCAGCAGCATCGCGTGTGGCCCACTGTGAGCGAACAGTGCTGTCAGCATCAGTAGGCGGGGCAGGAGAGGCACCAGAGGTGAGATCGAACAGGGAGAGGCCGTCTGCCCTATCGCACTGTAGGAACAGCTAGAGATCATCGACCCAGACCTCAAAGTCAACAGCACGACCCTCAGCATCAAAGGGTATGGACATTGGGAGTAGCCATGACAGCAGTGGTCTAGCAGGGAGTGATCTCACCAGTCCGAGTAAGTAGGGCCGGGGCGCGCCGGTAGGAACAGGGCCGTAACCGCGGTGGCTGCGGCTCGGCAGAGACAGTAGCGGCTCGACTGGCAGGGCGGCTCGGCGGCTCGACTGCTGGGCGGCTCGGCGGCTCGGCTGCTGGGCGGCACGGCGGCTCGGCTGTTGGGCGGCTCGGCTGCTGGGCGGCTCGGCGGCTCGAAGGCTTGGTGGCTCGGCTGCTCAGCTGCTGGGCAGCTCAGCGGTGAAGGGGCCGGTAGAGGCGGTGACGGGGCCGGTAGAGGCGGCGACGGGGCCACGAAGGGTGGCGACGGGGCCGGCAGAGGCAGCGACGGGGCCGCAAAGGGCGGCGACGGGGCCGGTAGAGGCGGCGACGGGGCCGCGAAGGGCGGCGACGGGGCCGCTAGAGGCCGCGACGGGGCCGCGAAGGGCGGCGACGTGGCCGCAAGGGGTGGCAACGGGGCTGCTAGGGGCGGCGACGGGGCCGTGAAGGGGCCGCGAGGGGCCTAGAGGGGTGGCGACGGGGCCTAGAGGGGCGGCGACGGGGCCGCGAAGGGGCCGCGAGGGGCCTAGAGGGGCAGCGACGGGGCCTAGAGGGGCGGCGACGGGGCCGGGAAGGGGCCGTGAGGGGCCTAGAGTGGCGGGGACGGGGCCTAGAGGGGCGGCGACGGGGCCGTGAAGGGGCCGTGAGGGGCCTAGAGGGGCGACGACGGGGCCGCAAAGGACGGCGACGGGGCCGTAAGGGGTGGCGATGGGGCCGCTAAGGGTGGCGCGAGGGGCCTCTAGGAGGGTGCGACGTGAGGGCGGCCTACGGGGCGCGCCTCGGGCAGGAAAAAAAAGATCGAGTTCAGTGGTGGGCCCTGAGAAGCGTTCCCACGAGGGAACCTGCTCTATACCATGTGAAGAATGAAGAATGAATGAACTAGCAAGCAGGTGGGTACAAGTAGGAAAACCTAGAAATGTTGTACCCCATAGAGTCTACCCCACTACAGCCTACACAGACTATAGCATATAAGTTTGACACTGAAACCATGTTAGAATCTAGCAGCAGGAATGATTGAACTATGAAAGAATTGGGTACAAATATGAAACCCTAATGTGGGCTGTACCCCATATTGGCTACCCCACTACAGCCTAAACACATATAGCATATATAATATTTGACAAATACATCGAAGAAGTGCTACAAACGCCCAAGGAAACAGTCAACTATTATCACTCATTATTCATGGTTCACCAATGGTTTGACATTAGATGGGGGATGTACAAGCCATCTAAGCTCTAAAAAAACTTCTAAACTCAACAATGAACCATGCAAAAAAAACCACTTTCTCTTTATGTTTGCGAGATAATGACTTTGTATGTACTACTGAAATACTTAAGGCAGCTAAGAATGACCAAAATAACAATCTTTTCACAACTTTCAGAAATGATTGATACTAGTAGAGGAATACTAGAGGAGCCAAAATATATATATATGTATATAAATCAACCACACAAGAAAAAAACCTCGTTATGAACATCATTTTGGGCAATGGTTTTGGGCCAATTGCATGGCCTATAGCTGCAAATAAGCAGCTTTAACTACACCCAAAAGGAACCTTAAGACGTCCTTTCTCAAGTTCTGAAAAAAAAAACACCCCTAAGAACGACCTCCTGATTCTCATATTCCACTAATACAACATTACCAGGAACCAATTGCAAAAGAATATTTATACACACAGAGAAAACGTCAACTATACCACTAATTATTCGTGCACCTAAACAAATTCAGACTATTTCGCGTCTGTCGTCAGCCGTCATCTGTCGATCGTCAGACTTCACTGATAGTGATGTGGTTACAGAACTCCTTGTCAACTGTTCACGTTGTTGAAATGATTGGCGAAAGGGTTACCCTTCGCCAATCATCTATTTGGAAATAGGTAAAACGGCCAAAGTGCATGTCTAGCTATGTCTAGGAAAAAAATTTGGGTTTTTATACGGGCCGTCACAAAACATTTCTTAGTTATCACGAGCACTCACATTTTCCGCAAAATCTATCATGAACGGTCACATCTTCCGCCAAATCTGTCACGAACCATCACATGGGTATCACCCGCCGTCACTCAAAGGCACTAAATTATATCACGGGTAGTTGACGAGAAGTGAGAATGGATGATTGAACTATGAAAGAGTTGGGTACAAGTACTAACCCTGATTGGGTTGTACCCCTCGTGGGCTACCCCACTACAGCCTACACAAATGTATAAGCTATAATGTTCTGACACACCCCCATAGGCAAAGTGGGGGAGAACAAGTGGTCACAAGAGCAGTCAAGCAAAGCAAAGCAAGCTCAGGGTGGATCACAAAGTCGCCACACAGTCCGAGCACAAGAGTAAGGCCACAAGGCCAGTTCACATGCAGGATCATATATATAAAGGTAAACAAGCAAGTGCAGGTATAGAAAGAGTATAGTACAAGCAAGATCAAGAAGTGAGCAAGTGAGGCCACGTAGGCACAAGACCTAGCAAAGTACAGAAGCGCTGATGATCACAAGGCGGAAGGGCCTTGGTGAAGACATCAGCAGTGTTGGCATCAGAGGCCACGTAGGTGAGGCGGAGCTGACCACGCTGCTGCAGCTCACGAGCCAGGAAGTTAGCGGAGAGCAATGTGCTTCGTTCTGTGCTCCAGCCTGTGCTCCCGACACAAGGCCAGCATGGCCTTGTTGTCCACGTACAGAACTGGAGGAGAACGAGGCGGCTCTCCTATGTCAGTCAGCAGGTAGGTGAGCCAGCGTAGCTCCTGTGCAGCCATGGCCCCTGCGTAGATCTCAGCTTCACAGCTGGAGCTGAGAACAGAAGACGAGCGGGTCGACCGCCACGAAACAGAGCCGGAGCCAAGGCTGAAGGTGTAACCCTGTGACAACCGCTGCAGAGCTTAGTCGGCAGCCAAAGAAGCGTCAGCGTGACCTGTGAGGACTACTCGACGTCGCCCTCCAAGCACTAGCCCCATGCCCGACGTACTGCACACGTAGCGCAACACCCTCTTCGCTGCAGCCATGTGCTCTGGTCTGTGTCTCCTAGGAGCAACATAGCGTGCCAAGATGCTAAGAGGGTAGGCAAGGTCAGGTCGTGTGCAGGTCATCAGGTACATGAGGCAGCCAACAAGCTCTGGGTACAAGGCACTCGACTCTACGGACTCATCCGAAGGCAGAGCTGAGAGCGAGTGGTGAGTAAATAGAGGAGTGGCCTGAGGCGAGGAGTACGTGAAGCCAAAGCGCTGAAGGACCTGCTGCACCATGTGTGACTGAGTCAGGGTAATGGTGCGCTGTGCTCTGTCCCGCGTGATCTGCAAGCCAAGGTAGCTGCGCAGTTCACCCAGGTCTGTGCACGTGTGTCTCTTCTGCAGCTCGGACTTCACGTAGGCGAGTCCAGCAGTGTCAGCAGTGGCAAAGACCAAGTCGTCGACGTACACGAGGATGTAGAACGGCGGCAAAGAGGTGTCGGTGCGCAAAAACAGCGACGGGTCGGCAGTAGAAGGAGCAAACCCAAGAGCCGCAAGTGTAGTCCTCAGTGTGTCGTACCACTCACGAGGCGCCTGGCGGAGACCGTAGACTGGCCGTTGGAGGCTCCACTGGGTACTAGGAGGAAACAACCCAGTGAAGCCAGGTGGGCGGCGCACCCAGATCTCCTCGTGCAGGCTGCCCTGCAAGAAAGCTGTGCTGAAGTCGCGCAAGAGAGTGAAGCTCGTAGTCGCGCTGAGCGGCTATGTGCAGCAGCACCTGAAGAGTGGTCATCTTCGGGGTGGGAGAGAAGGTCTGAAAGTAGTCAACTCCCTGCCGCTGACTGAAGCCTCGAGCCACGTAACGCGCCTTGAAGACAGGCGGAGAACCCGGCGGCCGCTTCACCCTGAAAATCCACATGCCACTGACGATGTTCGCCCCAGGTGGGGGAACCTCGTCGACGTAGGTGCCTGTGGACTTCCAGGAAGCCATCTCTGCATCCATGGCCGACTGCCACTGAGAGGAGTAGGGACCCTTGATCGCCTCAGCGTACGATCCAGGAGTCGGGATGTCTGGTGCATCCGGGTCTCCCTCAGGGGCAATCAGCGTGGACACGAGATGAGGCAAAGCAGCCGCAAAGCACTGGAACTCCTCCTGCCTGTCCTCAAGGACGTCCGTGCTAAGAGCACACTCACCCCCGACGGACGGAGGACAGACAGACTTAGACTCAGCAACAAGACTAGCAGCGTAGTCTAGATGACAACGAGCAGCGAAGTCGACAAGCTCAGCAACAAGAGCAGACGCAGGAGTGGACTCAAAGGAAGGGTCAGTGACGACAGTAGCAAGAAGGCGCGTGACCAAAGGACTAGCAGCATGAAGGGAGTCAGACTCCGGGTCAGCAAGGCAAGGAAGAGAGGACTCTGGAGGAGACTGCAGCGGGACACGCAGAGGAGCATTGGAAGGACGCAGTGCGATCTGGTGTGTGCCGGGGACCGCAGGAGGACGCGGACGTGCAGTACGACCACTAGTGCGAGCAGTACGAACAGGCGACGCAGGACGAGACGCAGGCTCACGGCGCTCAGCAAGACCTCCAGTAGGACCAGTGTAGGGAGAAGGAGCAGGTAGAGGGGAGGCGGGCTGTAACTGTGACTGCGACTGGACAGGCTGTAGACACTCTAAGGGAGGAGCAGGACCAGTAGAGGGCGGGAGACCAAGAACCTGCTCCAGGAGCGGAACGAAGTACGGCCTCGGCCGCGCAACGCCTCCAGAACCAGCAAGGACGACACCAGTACCCCCAGCTGCAGCACCAGTGCCAGCAGCACCCCCAGCTCCAACAGCGCCAACTCCAGTACCCTCAGGAGCACCAGCGCCAGCACCACCGCCAGCGCCAACACCCCCAGCAGCTCCAGCTCCAGCAGCACCAACTCCAATAGGACCGTCAGCACCGGCTGCCTCAGCAGCACCCCCAGACGCACCAGCACCAGTAGAAACACCAGCGCCAACACCCCCAGCAGCTCCACCTCCAGCAGCACCAGCATCGACAGTAGCTCCAGCAAGACCAACTCCAGTAACTCCAGCAGCACCCCCAGACTCAGCAGCACGTCTCCAGCGGCGGGCGAACCACTCGCGCGGCTCCTGTGGAGAGAGCGGCTCCCGCCTCGACAAAGCACCGCCGACGGCCACACGAGCAGACCCAGCACCCCCAGGTTCAGCACCCCCACGCTCAGCACCTCCAGGCGTAGCACCCCCAGACTCAGCACCCCCAGGCTCAGCACCCCCAGTCTCAGCACTCCCATGCTCAGCACCCCCAGACCCGGCACCCGCAGGCTCAGCACCTCTAGCAGCACCAGAGTCAACAGCTACCTCGACAGGCTCGACTGCGTCTACGTGGGACACACCTGACGGGGCAGGACCGTGAGGGGGGAGGGGGTCTACCGGGGGAGGACCTGGTGCAAGGAAGAGCGGCGGCGTTGGGAGGGGCGCAGTGCGGTAGGGGAAGAGACGGTAGTAAGGCACCGACTCGTCAAAGGTGACGTCTTGGGAGGATAGAACACGGCGCGAGGTGGGGTGGTAAAACAGCCACCCAGGCGCGTTAGGGGGGAAGCCAAGGAAGACGCAGGGAACAGCACGGGGGGACAGCTTGTCCGCAGACAAGTCGCGGACAAACGCCCGAGATCCCCAGACCCGAAACGCAGACGCATTGCCAACCTTCCTAGTCCACCGCAAGGTGGGGGAGGTCTCTGGCAAGGAGACCCGGGGCTGAAGGTTGAGCTGATGCGCGGCGTACTCAACCGCAAACGGCCACAGAAAATGGGGGGCAGCCGCATGCATCATGGACGTACGAGCGACGTCCATGACCATGCCAATGCGGCGCTCAGCAATCCCATTTTGCTGTGGAGAGGCCGGAAGCATGAAGGTCTAGCGGATGCCCTGTGCACGTCAGAAGGCTCCTAGACGGGCAGAGGAAAACTCCCCACCTCTGTCCGAGTGCA